CCAACCCGACAATCTACAGAAGACAGTCCTTAACCTCGATCCAAATGACTAACCATGGACTTTTATAAATTTTTGGAAGTAAAGGGTAGGAGCGTCACAGATCTTGAGGAGGAACCTCAGTGACTTCCCAAACTATTCTATTGTACGACTATATTTTAGAGAAGATGTTATTTGAATGTTCAATCCTGTCAATTTTATTATTTGGGACTTACGAATGCATAATACTCGATTATGCAAATAGTCTGAAGAAATAAGAGGGTTTACGTCGTGTCACACGACAACCTCGGAACTTAAGACGGGTTAGGACTTACGTTGCACAACATGGTTGTACAGGAGCCTAAAAAAGGAGTGTGAGGATTTACATCACGCTAGGCGAGTTACCTCGAAGTCCTATGAGTTGTTATTATACTAGGAAGGGATAATGCTGAAAAAGATCCTCTTGCTGCTCGGTTTGAATTCCTCATCGTGCTGCCCACAAAGTTGATTGTAGGTTAAGTCATTAAGGGAATTTTGCTGTTGATTTAATTAAGGAAGCATGGGTCACGTCTTGAAGTATAAGACATTGGTAAAAGTGGGGGGCTCAGAGCTAGAGGAATAGGTGGATGGGCTCTCACCCAGGGTGTGCTTCTAAAGTGTAGGAAGCCTAAACGACATAAGGCAGTCTTTAATCTCAATCCAAGTGACTAGCCGTGAACCTTTATAAATTTTCATAGAAAGATTTTCATACAAAAGTAATTATTTAAGTCTTTTTTATACAGAGTTCTTTTAATCATGCAAAATAAATTTTTGTTTTATTTTTATAAATATTTTGTAAAGTCGTACAGTCCACAGACTAGTCACTCTAATCGTGCCAGAACTACTGACAACCTAAGAGTGTCGGGGGCAACGATCCCATCAAGAGTCGGCGAATAGTATCCTGGATCCTTTTCTCTCTCTTATTCAAGATCCTTGAGGTAGGAGATATTATTCTAATAATTTCACTTCGTATCCCTCGTTTAAGCACACATATGCAATGCCGTCATCGCCCTCGCCACCTAGACCCTAAACTTATCATAGTCCGATGATCCATATGTGGCGTTAAGAAATTTTCCCAATTGCTAGGAAGATTTGAGTGTAATATTCAAGCTCAAATCCCGATGCACTGAGTTTTATTGTAAGTTAAGTCATTGAGGGAATTTCACTGTTGATTTAAGTAAAGAAGCATGAGTCACGTCTCGGTGCATCATGTTAGTGTCTTAGTCAGATCTACTAAGTGTCTAGTTTCACTGTGCATTCGAGGATTAGGTGAATGGACTTTCACCTAGGGTATGCTCCTAAAACCTTGGGAGGTTAAACTTCAGAGATTAGGTAGATGGGCTCTCACTTAGGGTGTGCTCCTAAAATCTAAGAAGACCATACTAAGGATTAGGTGGATGGACTCACCTAGGGTGTGCTCCTAAAGTGTAGGAAGTCTAAACCGAAGACTAGGTAAATGGACTCTCACCTATCGTGTGTGCTTAAGCTCTAGAAAGCCTACACTGAGGATTAGGTGGATGGGCTCTCACCTAAAGTGTACACCTAAAGTCTAAGAGGTCTACACTGAGGACTAGGTGGATGGACTCTCACATAAGGTGTACACCTAAAGTCTAAGAGGTCTACACTGAGGGCTAGGTGAATTGGATCTCACCTAGGGTGTGCACCTAAAGTTCTAGAAAACCTACACTTTAACTTATGCTTAAGGTGATTTAAGGTTTTCTATATTTTCCAATTAATTAAATCATCAATCCCCAT